GGTGCAGGCGCCCCTCAGGCCGGGCTCCCTCCCCTCGGGACTGCACGCGTGGGTTAAAACCCCGCCTTTTTGGCCCGTTTATGGGTCCTCGCCACGCTAAAGCCCCCGATTCTCGTCCGGCCGTGTCCCCCCCACCTCGTGCCTGCGCCGGCTGGGCGCCCGCCGGGCGAGGCGGCAGCCCCGGGTGAGGCAGGGGAAGGTGGCGGCTCCTCTCAGGGCAGGGTGGCTCCCCTCAGCTTGCGCCACCGCCCCTCAAGACTTCACCCGCGTGGGAAAAAAAATGCCTTTTTAACCCATTTATGGCCGCTCACGATGCTAAAGAACCGCAATCCCCACCCCCTGCTTTGCGCCCGCTTTGGCAGAGCTCGCCCCTGACATGGGCTGCATCATCCTTCTCCACGCCGGCTGATGCGTTGGGCGAGCGAAGCTAAGAAGAGGCTTTCAAGAGCGTTTTTGGCTCTTTGCTCAAAAGCTGTTCAATTCTACTCAAAAGCACAGGCAGCCTTGCTGTGAGGGGGACTGTGGTCACTGCTGCCGGCGGTGGCACTGCAGGTCACAGGCATGCGGGGTTTTTAACGCGGCTCATGCGTTTCCCGCAGGAGCGGGTCCAGGGGGAAACACGCAGCTGTGGAAAAGTCAAACGAGTGGGAGAGTGAAGTTTGCAGCTAGGGATGCTGCTTCCAGTCAGGAGCGGTGTCCAGAGAGCCACCAGTACTGGTTATAATCCTCACATCCCGCTGGCATCGCTGGCGGCACAGCATGACGGCATTGTAATGACCTATCCAGCAAAGCTTAGAAAAACAAAGAATAAAAAGAGGCATCCTGTGGGAAAAGCCTGAGTGTGTTGGTGACGCATTGGGTTATAAAACAGCTTGGGCAAAAGCATAAGCAAAACATCCCCCAGTGCATAAGCGCAACATCCCCAGTGCTGATGATAATTTTTCAAGGAATCCCTTACTACCAAATAGGTATCAGCTTGTAACTGAGGAAACTCAGTTACCTGTATGAGAAGCAGTGCTTGAGGTTGACAAAAACATCTCAAGCCTCAGGAAAAGGCTTAGCTTTTGGCCCACAGCATGTCCTGGGGAGACCTATGTTTTATACACAGAAACATCAGGTACTTTACTCCCTGCCTACACAGTCAGGCTATTGCTTATACAGTTGAGAATTTTCACTGAATAAATAGATTTTCATAGTATGTTCAGTCAACTAGTGAAATTCTGTTGGAAAGTATGTATGCCATGTGTCTCCCACTTCATCAATAACCAAACCCAAGTGTTAATGAAATGATATGCAAAGGCTCAAACAGGGTCGGCAAAGCCTTTAAAGCTGAGAAATGAAGGAAAAGGAAAAGTATAGTAAAAGTAAGTGGTTTAAAACTGTCGGGGTAGGCAGCGGGTCTGCTGAACGCCTGACATAAAACTTCTGGGAAAAGTCATGGCTTCCCTCTGACAAACCAGAGTGGTGTGACTTAGCTGTCTCCCAGTGATACTGTTCAGGGCAACTTGCCATGTTTCCTGGTGGTTTTAGGAAGGGAAATAGTACTGTATGCAAACTAAATCACCTTGTTGAAGCCTCTGGCTTAACCCTCTGTAGCGTGGAAGGTTACTTCTCACCAAGCATGATGAGGACTTTTAGGGTATATAGCAAAAATTTTTGACAGGATTTTTTCTGTGTGTTTCATAGAGATGCAACTACTAAGGGGTTGGATTTGTGATCTCTTCATACCTAGCATAAAGTATGTCAGCTGTAAACAAATTAATCTCACTTGAGAGATAATGCACTCAGTTGCTCTGTCAGGGCTTCTGTCTGAGACACATCTCAGTGACAGCGCAAAGCATGTCACTGTTTCTGTCACTGTTTGTGGCTTGTTCGTCTGAGCCCTGCAGAGCATGATGCTTCTCTCAGGCTGGGATCTCGAGGCAGTTGTAGGTAAGTACCAAACAAATACAGTGTGGAGAAGCAGACAGGTTTGGCACTCACAACCTAAGTTAAATTTCTGTCTCCTCTTTACAGATCAGAAGTATTCAGAATGGTAACTTCAGGAAAGAGAAGCAAAGTCTGGTTCTCTATCAGGACACAAAAAAATTGTTTTAAACACCTCCAAACCTAACAGTACATTTCTAGTTCTGCATGGGATATGGCCACTTTCTAGACTGTTATTTCATATTTAAAATATTCCAAGGATTGTTTCCATGCACTAGGTGATTTTACACCAGTATTCTTCACTCCAGTTTCTATCATTGCATATATCACCAAGACCCTACTGCTGTCCTTGAGCTACACTAAGGGATCTGAAAGAAGGGGGAACAATCCCATGGTGATTCAGAAGATGATCTCCTCAGTGGAGAGGCAGAACACCCACTGTGCCTCATTTGGACTGATAGCACATTAAGCAGATAAACAAATGCTTAATGATTGCATATGCATTTCCTGGGTCATGGAACTGGGCTGGAAAGGGCTCAGGTTAATCACAGAAGATTTTGTGCAAGAAGTGAGGCTAATAACTAGTCATCATTTTTAAAAAAAGGACACTGTCTACTATAAAACAGTGGTAATTCAAAATCAGTGAGAGAAGCAAAAGTATTTTGATCATTTCTCTAGTACAGATCTTTTAGATGTAAATGGTTCCTCAAAAATGATTCCTGGGATCTTTCCAGTTTTAAAAGGCTAGACTAAATTTGTAAGTAAGCATTTCAAGACCAGTGCAGAGAAGTAATGTGGATTTAGAATCACAGAATGGTTTGGGTTGGAAGGAACCTTAAAGACATCCAGTTCCAATGCCCCCCTGCCACGGGCAGGGACACCTTCCACTAGCCCAGGTTGCCCAAAGCCCCGTCCAACCTGGCCTTGAGCTCTGCCAGGGATGGGGCAGCCACAGCTTCTCTGGGTAACCTGTGCCAGGGCCTCACCACGCTCACAATAAAAAATTTCTTCCTTCTGTCTAATCTGAATCTCTCCTCTTTCAGTTTAAAACCCTTACCCCTCATCCTATCCCTACACCCCCTGTTCAAGAGTCTCTCCCCCCTTTCCTGCAGCCCCTTTCAGCCCTGGGAGGCCGCTCTAAGGTCTCCCCACAGCCTTCTCTTCTCCAGCTGAACCCCCCAACTCTCCCAGCCTGTCCTCACAGGAGAGGTGCTCCATCTCCCTGAGCATCTTCATGGCCTCCTCTGCCCCCGCTTGAGCAGGTCTGTGTGCTTCTTATATTGGGGAATGCAGAGCTGGACCCAGCACTGCAGGGGGGTCTCATGAGAGCGGAGTACAGGGGGAGAATCTCCCCCCATGACCTGCTGGCCACAATTCTCCTGATGCAGCCCAGCACACCGTTGGCTTTCTGGGCTGTGAGTGAACATTGCTGGCTCACAGTCAGTTTTCCATCCACTAATATCCCCAAGTCCTTCTCCTTGGGGCTGCCCCCCACCCACTGCTCACCCAGCCTGGATTTGTGCTGGGGATTGCCCCGACCCACGGGCAGGACCTTGCCCTTGGCCTTGTTGAACTCCATGAGGTTTGCACAGACCCACCTCTCCAGCCTGTCCAGGTCCCTCTGGATGGCCCATCCCTTCCCTCCAGCATGTGACCGCACCACACAGCTCGGTGTCAATCCCGCTCAATCCCACTGTCCATGTCACCAGTAAAGATGTTAAACAGCGCCGGTCCCAACACTCACCCCTGAGGACTCCACTCCTCACTGCTCTCCACTGGGACATCGAGCCACTGACCACAACTCTTTGAGTGTGACCATCCAGCCAATTCCTTCTCCACTGAGTGCTCCATCCATCAGATCCACACCTCCCCAACTTGGGAGACAGGGATGTCATGGGGGACAAATGCTTTGCACCAGTCCAGGTAGATGATGTCAGTTGCTCTTCCCTTACCCACCAGTGCTGTAACCCCGTTGTAGAAGGCCACCAAATTCATCGGGTATGAATTGCCCTTAGTGAAGCCATGTTGGCTGTCACCAATCACCTCCTTATTTTCCATGTGCCCCAGCAGAGTTTCCAGGAGGATCCGCTCCATGATCTTGCTGGATACAGAGGTGAGACTGACTAACCTGCAATTCCCTGGGTCTTACTTTTTCCTTTTTTAAAAATGTGGATTATGTTTCCTCTTTTCAAATATGATGGAGAGTGGCTGAGCCACTTTATCTGCCAGTTCCCTCAGGACCCACAGATGCACCTCATCAGGTCCCATGGACTTGTGCACCTTCAGCTTCCTTAGACTGTCAGGTCTGATCTTCTCCTACAGTGTATTTCAGGCTTCTCCATGTCCCAGGTAACTCCTGTTTCCTTCCAGAGAGGACCCACATTTCCCCTAGTCTTTCTTTTGTCACCAATATACCTACAGAAGCTTTTCCTGTTGCCCTTGACATCCCTGGCCAGATTTATTTCTATGAGGGCATTGGCTTTCCTGACCTGATCGCTGGCTGCTCCTATCTGTCCATAGAGGGCCTCATCCTCTTTAGTATTCCTGGTCTGGTGGCCCGTAGCAGACACACCCCCCCCTATAATGTCCCCTGTCCCTGCCCTCCCTTCAGTCCTGACCCACAGGCTCTCTGTCATCTCCTCACCCACCGCCAGGCAGAGATCCTGCACCCCAGCGGGGCACTGACAGAGGGTGACCCCCCCTCCCTGTCTCCCTGCCTGTCCCTCCTGAAGACACTGTGTCCTTCCATTCCAACTCCCCAGGCACAGGAGCCATCCCACCAGGTCTTCTGATGCCAGAAAGATCATAGCCCTGCAGGCATGCGCATGTCTCCCTCCTCTGTTTTATTCCCTGTGCTATGCGCATTTGCATTTCAGTTTGGAAAGAGGTCTAGAGGAGAAAAATGCAAATACCTCATCATCATTTCATAGGATCTTCTTCAGTTTATATTAGGCACAAGTCATTTCTTGCACATCAACCTTCGTAACAAAATCAGCATGAAACTACCTACATACAGTGCAGTTTTCAGAAAATACTGTCTGAAGTTGTTTTGAAACTGCTTGAGGGAATTTTATAAAACACCAAGAAAAATATAAATTCCATCTCCTACATAATTAGTCACTGTAATGAATCTGTAATTTGTTTTACATGGAAAATGACTTTACTTATTAAGAGCAGTGTGAACATGAACTTATTATGCATGAGAGAGAACTCACAGCATTTTTCACTGGAAATTGTCAATCTTCAGATTTTCAAAATGTGAATTTAAAACAAATAAAAACTGATTTGTGATAGTGGTTTGTATTCCAGAAAGGGAATTCTATGTCCTGAATTGACACATGAAGACAGTTACCCCCCACCATGATCCCTTATTTGCTCCTATCACATCACATCACATCAGATTGTCACATGCCATCATGTAACATTAGATTGTTCACTCATGTATTCTGGGTGGATTTCATAGGATTTTTTCTATGTACCTGTTAAGATGGGGAAAAATCTTATCAGTAACATTGTTCTATGAGGAGTCACCCCTAATTATTTTCCCCTCTTAGTGTGTTTTTGAAAACATTATTAGAAAACCTGCTTTTACAACATGTTTTGTATTTGATGATGTCTGAGTCCATAGAGGCCTTTGTGGCCTCGGGTCACAGAGGAAATTTTTGAGTGCTGCTTTCTGTTGAAAATGTTGCATTATTTGAATGGTTGCACATGAAACCAGACCCTTTTCAGAATTTCTGTGCAGGGTGTTTGTCACCTTCAGAATAAAGACAGACCAGATGACTCGGATGCCTGGTGCCTACAGAGCATAAGTCAAGGCATGTAAACATCATTG